CCACACCCACACCCACACCCACACCCACACCCACACCCACACCCACACCCACACCCACACCCACACCCTTAAAGATAGTGACTCTTTCAATCTTATGAAGTTATAGTTCATATAGGTGTACCAGCAAGATTTTAATATTGAATACGTAATTCAGTGTGCTCTTTCTAATGAAAGTTTTTCGACTTAAAATTCGATGTCTAGTAAAGCATTTTTGCTCTAATACTACTCATGGAACACAATTTTGCCCTTTTTCACTGATATTCAACGACTTTCGAGCAGAATAGTCCCTCACTGACTTCAGACAAATATCATATTTGAAATCAGCATGAAAAACTGAGCCGATCTATGTATATTTCAAATTGTTTCTGTGACTTCTTTTTCGGTCAAATTTGTACCCCTAGTCAGCCTCAGGGATATATGAAAAGATTAATTTATTCAAAAAGCCATGTGGACAACGGAAACAAACTTCGAAACTTGTGAAATACTGTTTGAGGACAATAAGACGTTTAAATAACCGATAAAATAGTTGTTTTGATCAGATTTATTTTTTCATACATCTTGAGGGAGAGGGTGAGGGATAAACAGCCATGACCGGTTTCGACCTTGCTGCAGGATCTCACCAGATGGCATTATTCAAATTCATCCCCATCACAAGGTGACAAGGAAACTGCAATCAACCCGTAGCATAGACGAGATACAGTATTAAAATTGCGATGAACAATATGAACTAAGCCATCTGCTGAGACCCTGAAGCAAGGTCGAAGACGATCATGGCTACTTATCCTTCACCCTCACCCTTACCCACATCCTCACCCTCACCCATATCCTCATCCTCACCTTCACACACCCTCACCCTCACACCCTCACCCTCACACCCTCACACCCTCACACGCTCACCCTCATCCTTTAACAATATGACCCAATCGGGGTGGTAGTCGTCATTTATCGATGGAAAAAAATTTCAAATTCTAAAAGAATCTTATAGATTCTGATAGAGAAAAGAATTCTGCATCGAAGAAGCCTGTTTTCAAAGAATCTGAATTAAGCTTTTATGGATCTTCAGGTCAAAAACTAGTTTTTAGAGCTTTCAGAAAGTGCTTCAGATCTCTCTTATTATCCGACTAGTTTTTGAAAAAAAACTGATATTTGTAATCAGCACACTCAGCTCTATCGAATTATACGGTCTTCTAACAGAACGGTGACAGACTTTTTTTCGCTCTTGTATACTAAGCAAGGTTGTCGTGGACTTTTCGGTATGTTGCTAGTACTTTACAGGCAATTTTTTTTATGAAAAGTTGCGCCTTTTGACGCTCTACAAAACTATATATAATTAATCTTGGGCTCTTGAAAAGTAACTGCATAAGAGAAGCAAGAATGATAAAAAAAAACATGTGAAATAGACCCAAAAATGGTCGATGTCACCAATTATAATGGATCTTTTTGATTTCAAAGGCACATAGTAACATATAGGTGATATAGGGCTTTGTAGAGCAGCTTCCGCTCTATCAACTAGTATAGTTCGATAATGGTTTTGAACAATCTTTTGTGATCAAAAATTTCAAAAACAAAAATGATCTAAAAACCATAGTTTTTATAGACCAATATTTTCGGACAAAACAATTAGGTTGCTGGAATATTCGAAGACTTTGCCCAAAAGTTGTAAAAATTTGAGTTTCTGAGTAACTTTTTAAGCTTTTTCAAACTAGCAAACTCGTTTCAACAATTACATAGGGTAGTCAAAAAGTTCTGCAACTTTCAAATATTTCTTCATAGAGAAAACATTTTGCTAATCTTTTTACAGTAAATGTTCGAAGCAGTCCCCACGATGTTCAATACAAAATTTCATCCTTTCAATGCATTTCTGAAATGTCTTTTGGTATTCGTGAATAGGTATTGATTTAAGCTCCTTGGTTATTGCCGTAGCAAAACTTGTTGAAACTGGATATGTATCAAGACTACGTTTCAGACGATTGAACACCCAAAAGTCTGAAGGAGCAAGGTCAGGTGAATATGGTGGATGAGCCATAACTTTGATTTTTTCTTCTTGAAGATAATCAAGATTAAGATTAATATTTTGCATACGTGGTTTTGCATTGTGAAGATGCAAATTTAATGCCAAGTTTTTTGATGATGATCTTTTCTTGTATAAATTTTCGACTAATCTTTTTAAACATTCATCACGATAACACAAGTAATAGACATGTCTGAGATGATAGCAATATAATCAATACTAATATGTAGATCATCATTCACCAGATCATTAACAGCATCAATATTTTGTTGAGTGATGGCGGTTATTGGACAACCACTTCGAGGATTATCTTCCAAGGATTCTCGCTCATTTGAAAATCGTTGAATCCATCGAGTAACTGTACAATATGAAACTACACCATGTCCATAAGCAGTAGTTAATTCATCATGAATTTGTGTAGCTGTTAAACCTAATAACAAACGAGTTTTTACATATGAGCGTATGTACTGTTTTCCATCTGAAAACGAAGATGTTCAAAAAATTCGTTGGAAATTTGCCATAATAGACATTTTTGAAACTTCATATTGGTATTTTAATACATAAGAGATGTCACTACTAGAATAGGGCAACATGAGGAATAAAACCAACTAGGATGAAATTTTAGACAGCGGTTTGCAGAACTTTTTGACTACCCTATGTAAAATTTTTCGGCAACTTGTTTGTGTGGTGGTCTGGTGGACCCTCTCTTAATTTATTTCCAATATTTTAGTCTTTATCAGCTGTTTTTTGGTTGCTTTTGTTGATGTGATGTTTTGTTCTTGTGTTGTTTCACTTTCTTCTGTATCGACTGTTGGTTCATTATCAATGTTGGCTATCATAGCATTTTTTGTCACTTCTGATTGTCGAGTTGTTGGCTGACTAGTTAATTTATTATGTAAAAGAAAACATTGTTTTTCATTATCAATGAACGGTAAAACTGACGATGAAGACATATTCAAAAGAAAATTTCCCAAACTGATTATCAATAAATGATGATGGATAACTAAAAGATATGTTGTGGATTAATAATAGTTCTTGTTATTAGATTTCTATGTTATAATTACTTACCCATTATATAATAACATCAGTTTAATAAAACGCTGTTCATTTTGAAATGCTTGAAATGTTTATGAATATCTGACAGCTCCTGCAAGAGCACTTTGTATAATATTTACAAAGACATGTGAAGAATGATCAGATATAAATGGTACAGGGCTGCCAACTGTACCCCATTTTGGGGTACAATACCCCATTTTGTCATTTTGTACCCCAGGAAATTTTGTACCTCTGGGGTACACTTTTTGTACCCCATTTAGATATTTGAGCTTTTATTGCTATAAATAAGTCTTTGAATCAAAATCAACTATATTTTCGATACACCTTACATCATCTTTCTAGAGTCATTTGCATAGGATAATATTGATAAATAGTTGAGAAAGGCATATTAGCAAACATTTTATTCATTTAGTTTTCTCTTAACCTTTTCTGTTTCGCGAGATTGATTTCAGTCCCAAAATCCAAATAAAGTTTGACGACTCTTCCACTTTTTGTCTTTGTTTTATTGTTTTTATCAGATTTAACTGACACATAGTATTTAAAAAACTAATTTAGATTTAAGTTTCTACTAAATGAAAAATAATATCAATTTTCATTGGGATTCCGGCAAAAAAAGCTGAGATTCAAATTTATGAAGAGTCAGAATCAGGAACGATAGCAGTTTCTGAAACATCCTGTAAATCTATTGAAAAAATCGACTGCAAGTGTCACAGAAAATGTGACGATAAGAGGGACAGCGGACCCGTCATAATCCCTATTTTGAGAAAATACACTTTTCTCGACATGTCTTTTTTCTTATCGAATAACAGTGTAGAATGAAAATGAATTCTGTATCTTATACTTTTAAAACATGACAAGTGCACTTTTCAACTTCTTAAAAAATCACTTTTGCACATCTTCCCACGGTTTTTTTTTCTTGGGTATTTTCTTTCCAGTGCCCCTAATATGTACTGTTTCGTCCAAAATGTAAAGGTAACGAGGGAACCTCCCCAGCTGTTCCCTTTCCATTTCGATGATTTTTTGTCTGTAGATACTACATAGTGTGCTAGTAAAAATCCTAAAAGAATTTCGATTCCTATTGAGATTTAGCAAAGCTATTGAATTTTTAATATATCTAATCATTTAGGACCCTAGGTCTCAGGAAAAGTTGTATTTTCGAATTTTCATCTGAAACTGTATCCATTTAGAGATCTCCAGTAGACTAGCTTCCATAAAAAAAATTCAGAAGTTTTTGAACAGAGTTACTTCCAGATACAAGACTTTCAAAAAATGTATATTGTATATTCTATTTATGGAAAAGACCTTATATCCAGAAAATTTAACATCTTGGAGAGACTTTGTTCACAATTTCTGAATGTTTTTTATGGAAGCTAGTCTACTTGATATATCTATATGCATAACATTTCAGATCAAAATTCAAAAATACAACTTTTCCTGAGACCTAGGGTCCGAAATAATTAGACATTAAAAATCCAATAGCTTTGCTAAATCTCAATAGGAACCGAAAGCTTTTAAGGGCTTTCACTAGCACACTATGTAGTATCAATAGGCAAAAAATCATTCAAATTGGAAGAGAACACCCGAGGAGGTTCCCTCGTAAGCAATATCTTTGACATTGTTCTTTTGCTAAAGCAGATCTCTCGACTCCTAACGGAGGAACTATATGATTCACCGACACTCCAAGCAAGCTACTCGTCAACGCATTGTCAAAACTGAAACTAAAGAAAAATGTACTTCTTTCTACAGTGGAATCGTTTTTAAAGTAATGCTGTTTTCTCAAAAGACCCTTTTTTGGCTGTTTCTCACCTACCACAACTCTGTTTCAGAAGAAAATGAGGTACCCCAATGTTGTACCTCATTTTAAAAAGATTTGTACCCCAACTGTACCCCATTATAAATCTTCTGTACCCCATTTGAAAATTAGGAGTTGGCAGCCCTGAAATGGTATAACATAAGGTTCAGCTGTTGGTTTGTGATAAACTGATGTTGTTAGAATACCATTATCATTTGTCAGGAGATCATCAAGAAATGGAAGACTTTTACCAATTTTATGATCGAATTTAATATTTGGATGCCACGTATTTGCTGCATCCAATAAATCTTTTAATTCTTTTTCAGATTCATTCCATGTCATGAAAACATAATCGATATATTTATGAAAATTGTTCTTGAAGAATTAGTTTTATCTGTGTTTCTGACACTTACCGACCAAAAAATTCACATGTCATATCTTGTTGGCAAACGAATTCTTTTTGTCATTTCCACATAAAAATTTTAGTTAATGTGAATGTGAATGTAAATGATGAACCCATTGTACCACCAAGAATTTGTCGATAAATTTTTGTGAAACACGATTGAAAAGGAGTGTTGAAGTATATAGGGTAGAAATTTGCAGCCCCCCCCCCCCCCCCCCTCGTCACACAGACGTAACATACATCTTAGCAACGAGTGGTCACAGACGTGACAGGCACGTTAGAAATGGCTTATCACAGACGTGACAGAACCTTAGCAACGTGGCTTCCGTCACAGACCGTGGCAGACGTCCGAGTTCCTACTTTACAATGTCAGCAGCTCCATCGTGTTTCACATTTTAATCCCACAGGGATTGCGCTAACAGGCTTTTTCACCATAGACCAAAACGTTTTCTTTTAAGACAACAGCTACTAATTGTCTGATTGTATTAAGAGCAATTCCTTTTACTTTTGTATATCCATGTATATGAAAAAATTCCATAATATTCGATGCTTGTTCTTGTGGTAACATTGTAAATAAATTATGAATATCAAATGTACAAAAAAGAGTAGATGATTAAAAAAGTTCTTTGTTATTATATGTTTTAACTCCTTGAATCAAATGAGCACCGTCAATAATTATTGTAGTACCACATTTATCATAAAATATAGGTCGTATTGTTTGATCTAAATAGTCTGAAATATTTTTTGTTACAGCATGAATTGTATTTCCAATGGGTCGTACTGGTATATCATCCTGTATAAATAGAAGAAGATTAAACTCTAATGATAATAAGAAAGATTTCTTTTCTACCCTATGCGTTTTAGGATTAAAATATAAATGTGATAATTCAGCTTTTTTTACATCAGTCATCATTTCTTTACATTGCCATTGTTTAGTGAGTGTTTTCGAAGCAAAATTATTAAGTAATTGACAGACTTTGTCTAATATTTGATTGAAAGGATTTTCCGATAATTCAATAAAAGCATTTGTATCAGTGAAATATTTTTGTATTTTTTCCTCAAGTTCTTTTGTTAAACCAATATAAAAGTTATTATCCTTATCGGTAAGACGAATGATAAGGTTTTGTTCGTGAATTGTCTTTCGAATTGATGCAACAGTATCTGCTTGTTCTTGAGCTTGAATGTGATCCTTGTATGGCAATGGAATAAAATAACAATGATTAAATAATTTAGAACAGCTTGTCCAGCTAACGGCGACCCAGCGTGGCCAAAGTTGAAGTTCAGATTTGTCGAATTTAAACATGGTCAGTGTGTAGAACACATTTAACTGTATAAGGATATGAGGCTTGTTTTTCCATTCACTCTATCTAGAAAAGAACGAGGGACCGAAACGTAAGGTATGATTTAATTTTATTATTGTATATTTTAACAGTGCAAAGGAAGAGGTTCTCAGCAGATGGTGTGAAACGTTTTATGAGATAGCTTTGCTATGGAAGGAATCACTGATAGATGGACTTTATTTTAGGATGTCTAATAAAATGCCATCTTCTTTCTTAGTTTAAAAAGGTCGTGTCGCAAAACTTGACCGAAAGAAAGGTGAGTGCGTTACCATTTAGAGGGTTTTTCACATTTACCCTTCTAGTACATGAGACATTTTAATAGGGGCTATGTTTTTTTAGGTAACTTTTGATGGACTATCATATGCACTTTTTCTAATTTTTTATAGTCGTATCTCTCAGGAGAATTGGTCGGATACTCAATTGTCCGACCAGTTGACAGCAGTAATTAAACGTGTACGACACGATAAAATACGATCGTAATACCGTGCATACCAAAGCGTCAACGTCAACTTACGGCCGCAAACTGTACGAAACAATGGTAAACGTCATCAGGTTCTGTCGTCCATGGTCGTTCCCAGCCATTGTAATTATCGTTCTGGATACCTACTCCGAAAAGAACTGCAGTGGGAACGTCGATGGTATCCGAGCTATTGTGCGAGACTAGTTCCTAGCAAACGAACGGTTCGAATAGTTCTTTTGATAAGAACTGAACTGTTCCAACAGTTCTTCAGATAGAAACTGATCTGTTCAAGTAGATTTTTTATGCAGTGTATCTGAACTTTTAAACTTGAACTGTTATAGTCCTAATCACAACATAGAGCTCGTTCAGATTGTGAGTAAGTGTGAATTGTTTGTTCTAGTTTCAATCAGTATCTAACAGATTTCGAAAGACCATAAAAAATAGTCACATTTACTTTTTTTAATACTAGATTCCTGCAGCAAACAATGATAATTCAACCATATCTAAGAAGAAAATATTTTTCCGGCTATCGTGGTATGATCTCATAAAACTCGTATTGCTCTGTATAATTGATATCATAGCTGTATATGATATAGGAAGCGTTGGTGTGAGTTGTTAATCTATCTGTTCGAAACTGAAATTAGGTGATATTGGATATGGAGTACATAAAAAACATTCTGCAGATATTTTGTGTGACACAAAAAAGAAATAATCGTTCGGGTATGGCGAATAGAATGCCATATCTGCATCGAGAATATCACAGAAGAGAGTTCTCATCTATTGAACCGTGCAAATCAGTGCTGTTAATGAGTACGTCTTGAGAAGTTAAGATGCAGATAACTAACTGTATTCGTTTCCAAATACTTCTTAGAATAGAGCTTTTGGATCTTATTCATTTTTGACAAAAAATACCGACATTTCTTGTAAATATTTTTCATTATTAGTAATATTAATATAAAAGGCAACGTCAGTCCAGTCGGACCAAAACGTAAAGCAAGGTTAGAAAACAAAACAGCAGTGTCCAAGAACTGAGTTTTGGGAATTCTTCCAATTCCTAAAAGCATCAGCTAAAAGTGACATATCCCTCGAGGAGCTGAGAACTGACCCTCAAGCACTTCACGAAACCTCCTCGGTTCGTCATCAATTTCTTGTCGTTAATAAATCGCAAACCTTTGCGACTACAGTTCTCAAACCACGATACCTTCTCATTTCCTCATTTCCTCCCGTGGGTATTGACCGCCGACAATCGCTCAGAAAGGAATCGAGGAAATAACTAGAACTAACCGTCAATATCGATCGGGGGAACTGACACCAGCATTAGCCACCATCATTCGAATCCCATAAGAAGGATCCAGACAATAACAATTACCACACCAATGTGAGGAGACGCCGGGGAACT